GAGACACTTGGCATTGTCTGGAGACAGTTTTGATAGTCACCACTGAGGAGTTGGCTATTGGCAGCTAGTGAGGAGAGGCCAAGGATGCTCTTCTACATCCTCCAACACAACAAAGAAATGTCAGCAATGCCGAGGTTGACAAGCCCTGCATTAAGATCATAGAAAACGAATACATTTTCAATGTGTCTTAGAGACTGCGATTTAATTTTTTTATTATGTTAATCACCATACATTACATCATTAGTTTTGGATGCAGTGTTCCATGATTCATTGTTTGCATAAAACACCCAGTGCTCCATTCAGTACATGCCCTCTTTAATACCCATCACCAGGCTAACCCATCCCCCCACCCCCTCCCCTCTAGAACCCTCAGTTTGTTTCTCAGACTATGAACTCTGAGAGACTGCTATTTAAAAATGATTATATATGTTACAGTTTTAAAGCCTGAAGGAGTAAGCTTTAGTATTTATATGTGTAGGAACTCGAGAGTACAATAAGTAATATGTCCCTTTATAATGAAAAAGAAGCATCTTTGTCCTCCGAACGTCCATTAATATTTTACGGATCCAGAGACTATCTCTAGAAATTTTGGAGGGGAACTTAGAGAAAGCAAAATGTGTCCAATAGGTTTGGGCAAAGAATTTTATATAGTGTAACCAATTTATTTAGTGCAACAGCAATTGGAGGAATAAACATGAACTCTGTACTTTTCTAATTACTTTTCCCTCAACTGGCTTGGGAATGGCTCCTTCACAGGTAGCTGGTTCTGATTCATTCATTTCAGTTAGCTTTGGTTATTAGAACACTCTTTTGTTGGTATATGATCTAGTCTTCTTCTCAGTCTCAAAGTAAACCTCTTCTCCCCTCTCTCAGTACTGCTTGGAAAACTGTGTGTGTGTGTGTGTGTGTGTGTGTTGGAGAGTTACAGAGAAAAAGCTATTCTGATTTCTTGGCCCTCCTCTCTTCCAGGTACCAGCTCCTCTTTGTGGAGTGTGGGGTGGGGATTGAGAGGACGAGATAAAACTAAATGACTCATATTTAACTGGACGAGACGTTCAGGCTCTCCTAGGTCCTGGTGGACCCCAGCTGATGGCCTCATGCTGCCCTCCCCTGATGTTCACTTCTTGGCTTTCTACTTCAACGGTTCTGGCAAGACCACAGCCCACTAATTTCCCATGGCTGCCACAGCCAACTCCCTGGCAAGTGGACTGGTATAGGAGCCACATTCCAGTCCTCCTGAAGCCTAGGGAGTTTGTAGAGATGGGGAGAAGGCAGTCCCAGTCCCCTCTGTGAGTAATACCTCACCAAAGTCTCCTCATCTCCTCTTGCCCTGCTCGGTAGCATGATGTGGGTGATGCTAGTCGTCCTCTGGCAGGCAGCGCTCCCACACAGACCCTGCCTCTCCCTAGGGCAGCCCTCTTACCTTCCGAAGGGATTTTGCTGCACTTCTTCCTTCCCTTCTGGAGCCTCTCTCTCTCTCCAGTCTCCTGGAAATTGTGACTCACTAGCTGGTTCTCTCTCCCCTGATGTCCATGCCCCCTATGGCACTCAAGGGAACTCCCAGATGTTTCCCTATCCCACTTGAAAGGGTGGGAAATTCAAAGTGTCCACTCTGTCCCTAACATTTCTCAAAACTATCTGGCCATCAGATTTCCCGATGGGACTGTCAAGGCCAGTCTTCTTTGCTCTGATGAGGGTAGGGAAGGGAAGGGTAAGACAGACCCATATAGACAGACCCATGTCTAAACTCTCCATCAAACTTCTCTTCCCTCCCCAGTTCCCCTGGAAGCAGGGAGCAGGGGCAAAAAAAAAAAAAAAAAGAAAAGAAAAGAAAAAAAGTCCTTGCTCTGCCTGCTCACATTTCTTTTTCATTATTTTCTGTTGACCCAGGTGGTAACTTTTTTAATTTAAAAGCTAAGAATTTAGTACCTTTCATCTTTGTGGTGGACATTTTCTAAAACGGTCATTCTCAATCTTGGAAGCATATTCATATTATCTAGAGAGCTTTCCAAAAAATAAATCAAATCAGAATACCTGGGGAGCGAGGCCCAGCTATTAGAAATGTTTAGGAATCCTTTGTATGGCACGCTGCATAAGAGGGCTGGGAACCCCTGCTCTAGAAACACAAGTGCCCAGTGGGCTAGGAGGGAAAAAAGATATCAATTCCTAGTTCATATTGCATCCCGTCACAAAATGCAGAAGCCCAGGCACAGAGAGGCTAAGAAACTTGCTTCAGGTTACACAGCTAGTAATTTTTTAGTGTAAAGACCTAAAAATGGAGCCCCAAAGCCCATGTTCTCTTTCAGTGTAGTAGTAAGGTTCCCGAGCCAAAGTGGCACATTTTATCTGTCCTTTCTTCCTCTTCCTCCTTCCTCTTCCACTGCTCAAGGGTCCCCTCAGCACCTTATGTAACAAGTGACCCTGAACTGGTTCAGGCAAGGACTGTTGAATACAGCTTCCCTTTGGACATTTAAGGTTCCCACTGCATCAGCAACAAGATCAATTCAGGAGGGGCAAACCAGGATTTCACTGACTTAATCAAACACCCACCCATTGTGTTCCCTGTGGAAGACCTGCCAGAGATGAAGAAGAGGGTCAGGACGGCTGCTTTACTAAGCTTTAAGGAAGTTAAGGAAAATCACCATCATAAGTGACAAGGAAATGGAAGGGAAAAACATAGTCTCCCATGGCTGAGCCATAACTTGGGGGCCAGCACAGCCTACCCCGTTAATTCTTTCTTCCTTCAATACTCCGCTGAGGCAAACATCCTCACGGAAACCTTCCTTTATCTCCCCCCCGGGTCTGAGTTAGGAGGACTTCCTTTGCCCTTACCACACTGCACTTCCTTATAAAGTATCTGCTTCTCTCTCCTTTTCACCAGACCATGAACTCCCTGAGGAAGAAGGATCATGCCCTTGACCTGTATCCTTAGCCTCTGGCACAGTCCCTGGCACAGAGAATATACTCAATTAATATTTCCGAATGACTGTCAATATTTTATTATTATAAAAATGGTAAAGGACATTAAGGGGGGTAGTAGCTTAAAATTTTGTACATCAGAAAAATGAGTCACAACTTAGATAAAGGTTAGATGACCCAAGCTGGAAAGTCATGAACTCTTTTTAGCTCTTTTTGACAGCTGGAAGTCAAACCTACCCTGGTGCTTAATTTCCAGGGTAGAGAGGACCAGAACAATTGGATAGACCCTGAAAGTGATCTAATTAGTGATGCTGATTCATTACTTGGTGCATCCATGGTCCCTATCACCAGAAGCCACATAAAAGCCCTGTGCTTGGTGTTCCGTAGGGCAATTTTTATGTCCATAATTACAAATCAGGGGCATTTTAACATAACAAAAACACTGACATGTTTATACATGTGCCATAAAATCATTTTCAAGCGAAAATGTAAGACTCTATTAATGTTTATTAGTCTGTACTTTGACAGTAATATGATCGAGGATGAAATAGAACCTACTGGTTAGTTGCTTATTCGATAAATCTTTTTTTTAAGAGAGGGGGAGAGTGACTGAGAGAGCAAGAGTGAGAAGGGGGGAAGAGGGAGAGAGAGAATCTTTTTTTTTTTTTTTAATTTTGTTCATTTGAGAGAAAGAGAGAGAATGAGTGGGGGGGGGGCCATAAGGAGAGGGAGAAGCTGGCTGAGTAGCAAGCCTGATGCAGGACTCAATCCCAGGACCCTGAGATCATGACCTGAGCTGAAGGCAGACATTTAACCCACTGAGCCACCCAGGCGCCCCGGGAGAGAGAGAATCTTAAGCAGGCTCCACACTCAGCATAGAACCCACTCAGGGCTCAGTCTCACAACCCTGAGATCATGACCTGAGCTGAAATCGAGTCAGACGCTTAACCACCTGAGCCACCCAGGCACCCCCAATAAATCTTTTTTGAGCTATGAATTTGTATAAGGCTTTTTGGCAAGAAATGGTGGAGGGGTTGATAAAGGACACATACTTGACCCTGACAGACTTTAACATCTATTTTAAGGAGAAAAAAAAAAAACCTGAAAAAAATAATAAACCAATCAAGAGCAAATGTAAATAAATACTATCTCTCATTTTACAGATGGAGAATGTGTAGATGTGAAGAGAAGGAGATGTGTAAGGGCTAAAGACCTGAAAAGGTGAGACATGAGCTGGTTTTTCTTCTCTGCTATGCTTTCTAGTCACCCTGCCAAGCCAGGCTTGAAACAAAACTGTCAGTTTCTAGTCTTTTCTCTGAAAATGTGACTGCTTCATCAACCTACAGGAATGGCTTATGGGTTCCAAATTAGAAATATATACCCACAGTTGATGCTTATTATTTGAGGACTCCATATCTGTGAATTTGCCTCATTAAAATTTGTTTGTGACAGCAAAATCAATGCAGGGCTTTCGCGGTCATTCCAGACTTGGGCAGAGCCCCGAAAAACTTGGGCGGGCAGGCGGCATGCCTTTCTAGCTGAGGTCAGACAAGGCTGAGCTCTACCTTGTTTCAGCTCTCAGACGGTAAACAAGTGCCCTTTTCACAGACTACAGATACACCATTTTTGTGCTTTTGGGGGAAGGGGGCTGATTTTGATATATTTAAAATGGTTCCCGTGAAATGTTGTTCAGTTAAATAAGCTTACTAGGTTTCACTCAGGGGTCAGCTCTAATGATGATGGCCCTGAGCTCAAAGTTCATGAGTCAACAAGACATAAATAAGGTATCTTTAAACAGAAACCCACATAAAACAAGGTTATACATTGATCATTTGACAAAAATGTTGAGTGCAGGGGATCACAGGATCCAAACTCCGTATTTCCCCCGGGAGCTAGGGTTCAGTATTGTCAATCCACCCTCCGCCCTCTCTCCCTGGGGATTTGCCCTGGGCCCCCGCGCTGGAGGGCCCGCTTCGGCTGGGTCAGGCGCTTGTAGGGCCTGAGCCCGCGCCCGGAGCCCCGAGGGGGCGCCCCCGGCGCCATGCGCAGAGCGGCCGGCAGGTGGCGCCCAGCGGCGGGCTCCTTCCCCGCGTGGTGCGGGCCAGGTGCGCCGGACGCCGCGGAGCTAACCACAGCAGCCTTGCTGGCGGCCCCCGGCCCCCCACCCCTTCCACGCAGCGCTCGCGACAAGTGCGCAGGGGGAGGGCGGACGCGGGCGGCCGGGCCAGCTGCGTCCCGAGCTCGGGCACCGCCGCCTGCTTCTCTGGAAGCGCCTGGGAGCCCCGCCGCGCGGAGTCCGAAGTCGGCCACCATGGAGGCGCAGGCGCAAGGTGAGTGGTCGCCCGTCGCCCGGAGGGTCGCGTCCTGGCGCGCGGAGAGGCGCTTTCCCGGCACCGCGTAACTTTGCTCTCGGACGGAGCGGATGGGTGCCATCTGCACACGGCCGCAACTCGGCTGCTACCCGCGCCTGCGGGATAATCCCTGCTCCCCAAACTCAGGATTTGCTGTGTGGCTGGGGCCAGTGAAGATGCTAAGTGGGGAGGTCCCTCCGCTGGAAATGCGCCCCAGGACGCTCGACTTCTTTTCCCAGCCAGACTCCCCCCTCCCCCCCGGCCCCCGCGCGCTTTCCCAACCTCGCGGGTGTCCGAAGGACCTGTTGTGCTGGGTCCGGGATCCGCGAGGCGTTCCCCTGGCCCTTGGGGGAACAGGGAGGGGACGCGGCTCCTCAAGGCCTGAGCAGTGGGCTGGCGTCCGGTCCCAAGTTCGGGCTGGGCGGCGCGCGCGGGGGCGGTGGCTCCGCGGAGACCGGGGACCCCGGCTGCGCCAGGGGCTTGCGGAGCCGGGACTTGCCTTCCGAGGCAGGAGAGCGTTACCCGCCCGGGGATCTCCAGCGATAGACGCGTGTGTCCCGGTTTCCCAGGGCAGGGACAGACCTCTCCCTCCCCCGGGCGGGGCGCGCAGGGTCGCCGGCCGCGCTCCGGCCGCCTCGCTCCCCGCTACCGGGGTCGCCTGCTGTAGGAGCCCGTGGCGGCGGCGTCACCAAGGGCAGCCTCGTGACTTGGGGTCCCACTCGGACCAGGGGTAGGGAGTCCGTATGGAATTGTGCCCATTAAAAAAATTGAAAAAAATAAAAAAATAAAGGTAAGAAGAGGTTCAAGACCCTTTCCTGAATGAGAGCGATTTGGTGGGTGCTTGGGCCTGGGCTGAAGCCACCCAACAGGTTTGCTGCCAGGATTACAGTTGTCTGAACAGTAGGAACCATCCTGGTGTGTTCCATCAGCCAAGATCCTGCCCATAAAGCTGCTGCTTCCAGTATTTTTTATTCCCCATTATCTAATTAGGAAAGGAGAATTCAACCAAGGGTGGGGGTTGTTGATCAGATTCAAAGGCAGCGGTTGGGTTGAAGGCCTTCACTCCTGACCTGAAGCAGGTGGGAGCAACACTGGAGCTTTCCAACCTGCCTTGCAGATTAGAATTATTTGCAGTGTTAAATACTGACCTGTCCCAGATCAATCAAAGTGGAATCTCGGGGGCGTGGGCATGGGTATATTTGAAAGCTTCCCAAGTAATTGGTTATTCATTGACATCGGAGAGTAAGACTCATCTGAATTCTTAAGACAGCTAAACTATAGGTCGGAACCGTCAGTGTCACTGGTTTGCTTTACTTGCGAGATTTACTTAACAAATATTCCAGTGCTTTCCTTTTGCCAAGTACTGTGCTAGGGGGAGCAAGCACAGACTTGATTTTGGCTTCATGACATTTATAGTAGAGGAAGTAACAGACAGTAATTTGATAGTTACTGATAAATGAAGTGTAAAATCGCAGCTGTGTTAGTGATCTAAAAGAGGGTCACATAGCTCCAGTGAGAGCCTGAAAGTCTGGCCTAGTAGGTGATAATCAAAATAGTGAAGATTGTTTACTGTGTTTCTGTTTGTGCTTTCCACTTGTTGACTCACTTCACAACAGTCCCATGAGGTAGTGTTCTCATTCCCATTCTCCAGAGAGGAAACGGGCAGAGCATTTGAATTCCTTGTAACATCAAGTAGAGGGTGAGTAGCAGAGCGCATGCAGTGAGTGCTGGTCCCATTCAAGGCCTGCCACTTTTAGAGGAAAAAGAAAACTGAAGTCCCCATTTATGTCCCCCTACCCCCTTTGCCAGGCTTCCCTCCCCCTCGTGAGTGGGTGGAATCTGAGTGGGTGGGGAGCCCACCTTAAAGGGCAAGTGAAGTTGTCTTTGGAAGATTTGGACTAGGGTGATGGTCAGCCGGGAGGAGAGAAACGAACAGATTTAAGAACTACTTAGGAAAAAAAATCAGCTCACTCTGGAATGGGTATGTAGGATGATGGTATCAAGGATGACTCTAACATTATACTTTTACAACCAGATGGATGATATTTGCCTCTTAAATCCTCATTTTCCCAGTTCTTGGAGTTCTTCATTTTCAGACTTTTTTTTGGTCCTTTAAGCAGCAGACCTATTAAGTTCTCTAAGAAGACTTTTCATAAAATGTTTATAGTTTAGATAAATAGGAAAATCTTCTTACCCCTTGACACATGTTTCTGGCCAAATGAATTGCCTCTTAGATTCTAAAAGACTCCTCTGGTTTCTTAAGTGCAAGTTTCTATCATCGGCACGGTTTATTTTAGAATTATCTCGAGTGGGGATGGCTTATTTTGTTGCCTCTTGATCTAGAAACAAGCAAAATTGAGTGAGATGAAGTAGGCAATGCCGCTGGGATGTTCCCTTGTACTTTCCAGGAGAACCGTAGGTGCTTAAACATGGTTTGTATGCATAGCTCAGTAAATGCAGCAGCAGGGTCTTTTAAACTCTTCCATAAGTGAAATTCTGCAAATATATAACCTGACTTTATAAAATAATAGATTACTTCCAGCAAAATAAGAAGACATTCTGGGAAGCCAACAGAACAGAAAATATAGAGGTGGGATTATGCACAGAATGATTTGATGAGAAAGAGCTGGAGAACAGTGTGGGATGAAAAGCCTAAAGGAGGCCAACATTCCCAGTTGCTTTCCTGATACTAGAGAATTTTGCATTAATAAAATTGATATATTAGAGAGAGACTTTGGTTAGGAATGTAGCATTTTCGTGAATAATACGGCAATCCCTTGAAATAAAAATTCCTGATCTTTTTAAATTACCTTTGAAGATTTCATTACTCTAGGAAATAACTTTGTTTTTGTCTTTCCTAGTGTCTTTAATGTTAAAAGGAAAATTTTCTCTCCACTTAACACTTGTATATATTTAGATCAATAATTGTATTAATTTTGGGGCACCTGCATGACTCAGTCGCTTTAGCCTCCAACTCTTGATTTCGGCTCGGGTCATGATCTCAGGGTGGTGAGATCAAGCCAGAGGAGGGCTCCATTCTCGGTGCAGAGCCTGCTTAAGACTCTCTCCCTCTCCCTCTGCCCCTCCCCCCTCTAAAAATAATTTTAAAAAATAATTGTATTAGTTTCCTATGACTGCTGTAGCAAATTACTACAAATTCGGTGGCTTAAAACAACAGAAATTTATCCTTACAGTTCTGAAGGCTGCAAGCCCAAAAGCACTGTCACTGGACCACAACTGAACAGTCAGCAGGGCTTTGCTCCTCTGGAGGCTCTAAGAATTAACTGATACCTTGCCTCTCCCAGCTTCTTGTGGCTGCCGACTTTCCTTGTCCACATCACTGCAGTCTCTGCCTTGGGGGTCACATTGCCTTCTCTGTCTATCAGATCTTTCTGTCTTTTATAAGAATGCTTGTGGTTTCATTTAGAGCTCGTCTGAATAATCCAGGATAATCTCCATATCCCAAGATCCTTAAATAATCACATCTGCAAAGACCCCTTTCCCATATAAAGTAACATTTACGGTCCCAAGGATTGGGACCTGCTACCTTTGGGGGTCATTATTCGGCCTACTGCAGTAACTATTTTTTAAATTCAGACAGTCTACTCTGGAGGATTCTCAGAGATCTGTAAATGATGTGAAGTTATAAATGTCAGATTAATCTTACCTGTTTCCAAATCCATTAAAACGAAAATGTCATGTGTAACTTCCATTATAATTATACTTTGTTCACAGGACATTTATTTATACTCATCTTGTTCCAGGAAGAACTTAACGGCAATTTATACATGTTTAAAAAACACAGCAAGATAATGTAAATTAGAAACAGGTGAATGAAAATAAACAAGGATCAGAACAGAAAATGAGGCAAGGAATGAAGCCGTAGAAAACTGAATACAGTTATATCCTTTTTCTTTTCTTTTTTTTTTTTTAAAGATTTTATTTATTTATTTGACAGAGAGACAGCGAGAGCAGGAACACAAGCAGGGGGAGTGGGAGAGGGAGAAGCAGGCTTCCCGCCGAGCAGGGAGCCCGATGTGGGACTTGATCCCAGGACCCTGGGATCATGACCTGAGTCGAAGGCAGAGGCTTAACGACTGAGCCACCCAGGCGCCCCAGTTATATCCTTTTTCTTAATATTGCATGGAAGACAGTTTTGCTTTGTAATACTTTGTTTACAAAGAAAACAATAAAATAATCCCTCTTCTCCATGCCAAATAGCACAAGTTAAGTCTCTTATGTTGTAGGGATTGGATTACTCAACGAAAAGATTTGTTTTGTATATTTCAGGGACTATAATCATAAACCTCAAACTATGGGAGGTAGGTGTTACATATTTTAATTTATGATTTAAAAAAAATTTTTTAAGAGTGTTCTTACTGCTTTCAAAGCTACCTCCTGTAGCTTTATTAACCCCCAAAGTTTTGAAATAGGTAGTATTGTATCCATAATTAAAGATAGTCCTTTGTGCAAATCTTATACTGTTATTTTAATTAAAATACTCATAAAATCTAATCATATAAATGATAGATATTATAGTATATTGGAACCTATTTCAAATTGTCTGCCCTAATATACTTGTTTTCTTAATACTTTGGGTAGGCAGAATCTGAGAAGTTGCTTCAAAAAACCTGTAAGCAGGGCGCCTGGGGGGCTCATTTGGTTAAGCGACTGCCTTCGGCTCAGGTCATGATCCTGGAGTCCTGGAATCGAGTCCCGCATCGGGCTCCCTGCTTGGCATGGAGTCTGCTTCTCCCTCTGACCCTCCCCCCTCTCATGTGCTCTCTCTCATTCTCTCTCAAATAAATAAATAAAATCTTAAAAAAAAAGTCATCTTCCTTTAGAATCTACTGTTAATTGGGGGAAATAATGGCTTGAAATAAGAATTGGCAATCTTTATGGCACCATCAGCTATAGAGAAGAATTCTACATAAAGAAGTCTGTCTGGGATTGCGTCTTATGAGCTTAGTTAGTGAAGT